AGTCGACTGTCGTGTGAGGATGAGGAGCGGCCGCTCACCTCCAGATCTCCCAGGAGGAGCCAGAGGGTCACCACTGTGCCTCAGGTGAGGGTGTTGTCCAGGATGCACTAGCCAAAGGATAGATTCATCTTTTGACATAAAGATCATTGGTTTTGCAAAATTTGAATGTTTGCCCATTGCAGAAACTTACAAATGTCACAACACCAGACAAAAGGGCTTCCCAGAAAATTGGACTGAGACTAAGAAACTTGCTCAAACTTCCCAAAGCACACAAATGGTGCATCTATGAATGGTTCTATTCAAATATTGACAGGTATGTTCTGCAGACATTATATTTTCAGTCACTTTGTGCAGTTTTTATGCTGTTAATATTCACATTATTATATTTTAATAATTTTGAGTATTGGAAAATGAGAGTAGTGTCTGCCTTCCATAAATATGACATTGCATTTCCATTATTAATAGATTATTAGTATTAATAGACCCAGTAAATGGGCCTAAATAGTCTGCTTGGCTGATTAATAAAAGTGTTTATTGCCCCTTGTAACAGTTCCAAAATCTTCTGATAGTCTTGTCATTTTGTAATAAAAACATGTCTGTTCAAATTTAGTGAATTCTAGATAAATATTTTGTAAATAGTATTATGTATGTCATTTGCTAACTTTAAATTACATTTTAGCATTGTATTGGCATATTGCTAGAAAGCTAATATTATAATATATATATATACATTTTTTTGTGTCTTTTTCATGTTCTTTAGGCCTTTATTTGAAGGAGACAATGACTTTTGCATGTGTCTGAAGGAGTCTTTTCCCAATCTAAAGACCAGAAAGTTGACCAGAGTTGAATGGGGAACAATCAGAAGACTTATGGGCAAACCTCGAAGGTTAACTGACTGATCACTTTTAACCTTACACAGTAATAAATGCCCATAACATACTCATTATTTGCAGTTATAATATGTATACATATAGACAGGCACATAATAGTCAAGTCAAGTCACATTTATTATATATAATATAATAGATGGGTTAGAATGCAGATATCTTGGATTCAGATGTTTGGACTTGTCTGTCATGTGTTTTTCAGATGTTCCTCAGCATTCTTCGCTGAAGAGCGAATGGCTCTGAAACATAAGAGGCAGAAGATGCGTCTTCTACAGCAGAGGAAAATCACAGATATGTCTCTATGCAAAGACCTGCCAGATGAGATCCCTTTGCCCTTAGTCATTGGCACCAAAGTCACGGGTGAGGATCTGATTATACACGTTTGATATCTGACACAATCAGCAGATATGTAAGGAGCAATTCAAAATAGACTTTGTCTTCAGATTGTGAGTTTAGTAAGAATGAAATTGATATTAGAGGTATTGTAGTTTTCTAAGATTTTCGCTTAATGAAATGTTTTGAATGAAAATTTTTTTAATCCTTATATTCTTTAAAATGTAGCTCGTCTTAGGGGTGTCCATGATGGCCTGTTTACTGGTCAGATTGATGCCGTAGATACCAGTGCAGCAACGTATCGCGTGACCTTTGACAGAAATGGGCTCGGCACACACACTGTTCCTGACTACGAAGTGCTTGTAAGAAAATGACTGTCTTGTCACAAATGGCCATTATAATTTTTGTGTTGTTTCTGTTCATAAAGACAGTAAAGTGTCATTTGATTTGAATGGCTAACACTGCCCAATGCTTTCTCTCCAGAGTAATGAACCTCATGAGACGATGCCCATATCTGCTTTTGCTCAGAAACAGAGGCCACCTCGTTTCCAGAACTTTCTGACCCCACCCCGTGGGTCCTATCCCGGCTCAACCCAGTCCATCTTAATGGTAAAATTAGACTGTCAAGTGTGTTTTTTAAATGGGGTGATTAACTGGCATGTCATTATCTTGAAATGTTTCTGAGATCTGTTCTGCTAGGACAAAAACAAAACTATGCTAAATGCAAAGAATAAAATGCAGCAACGTGTGGTTTGTTCCAGCCACAGTATTTTCTTTGGTAAATAACTGGGAGCCAAAAGTATGCAACCATTTAAACACTTTTAAGGACAAATCTGTGTTGTATTAATAATAATGCATATTGTTGGGCCATTAATACATTTTAGTGTTTGATTTAAGGATATTGTTGTTTTTGCTTTTATGACAATTTTGGAACTATGCAGGGTCACACTTCATATTCAATGTAAAATTTGGGTCCTGAAGCAAAACTAGTTGAGAACTACTAGTGAATAATAAATGTTCAGTAATAACTGCACAAATAATCATAGCCTCTTCTTGCTCTGTTCCCAGGATAATGACCCTCTGTTCAGTCAATCCCCCTGGAGAAGTAAACTAACAGGAACTGATGGAGAGACACTGGGTGGCTTTCCTGTCAAATTTCTTGTGCAAGTGGTGAGAACTGCCATCGCTAATGTTGTCTGTTTACTTGGCATTCATTTTGCACAGAATTTCAACATTTTGTTTTATTCTTCTGCTAGACACGTCTGTCCAAAATCCTCATGATTAAAAAAGAACATATAAAGCATTTGAAGGAGATGAACACAGAAGCTGAGAAGCTGGTAAGATTTAAAGTGCCTGACACCTGATATGGTGGTGTTTTTGCGCATGTTAATTTAGTAGTACACTATGTAACTGTTTCCATTGTTCCTCTGCAGAAGTCTTATTCCATGCCGATTGGGTTGGACTTGCAGAAGAGATATGCCACAACAGTGCTGGACCTGGAACAGCTTAATAAAGACCTCAACAAAGTCCTTCATGAAGTACAGCAGTTTTGCTATGAGGTACGTATGTTTCTTTTATTCGCCCTTCCACATGACCACAGTTTTTTTCTAGACCTTCAGTTCTGGTATTCTCCTCAAAATCCTGGACATAAAACATGCATATTAATTCACTTTCACCCATTTCCCATTCACTTTCCTTGATCATCTCTGTTCAGCTGGCTCCAGATCAGGGCATGCAGCCTGCAGATCAGCCCAGTGAGTTGCGACGGCGCTGTGAAGAAGAGTCGCAGGAAGTTGTGCGTCAGAGTAATGCATTGCCTGATGGAGAACAGCGTGTCCAGAGCCCCAGCCTCACCCAACTCGTCTCTCGTCTCACAGCACTCCTCCTGCAGATCAGGGTACCAGACTAAACTGTTTACTTGTGCATGTAGTTTACAAAAATATATGTAACGTAGTTACATTTTCTGAAGGAAACATGCCTTATCACGATGAAAGTTTATTTTCGCCATGGAATTAAAAACAAAACAAAAAGGTAATTGCGACTTTTTCCCCCCAGGATTTACATCTCACAATTTTTACTTTTTTCTCTGAATTCTGACATTGCATCTTGCAATTAACTTTTTTCCCTCAGAATTATGAATTCCTTTTTTGTAATTCTGACTTTTCTTTGCCACAAAATAGAAAAAATAATTGACTTTTTATCTCACAATTCTCACTTTTTCCCTCATAATTCTGACTTTTTTTTTCCTTCTAATTTTGAGACAAATGTCCAAAGTTGCAATTACCTTTTTTAATTACCTCTGGCTGAAATAAGCATCCATACTAAAAAGCATGTACATAAAGCACAGACCAGGATCTTGTGACCTAGAACTACCATGATGAAGCTTGGTCAATACGAATTATTTAACAGTTTAACTAAGTTGCTCATCCAGCTCTGTCAAGCACTTTCAAATGCCAAAGTTTCACATGCACATGTACGTCACATTTCTCTCCTTATTTAATGCAGTGTTTGGCCGAAGGGGGAGACCTGAATTCATTTGAATTCAAATCACTCACAGACTCTCTGAATGACATAAAGAGTTCAATAGATGACTCCAACCTCAGGTAATATATATTTGCTTTCATTTCTCTTGTTTTTCCTGCATTCATATTACATTGTTTTTATTTTTCCCATTTTAAAAGTTCTAGTCGCACAGTGGAAGGAATTAATCATCTACTGTACAGTAATCTCTCTTCTGCAGTTGTTTTCAGGATAATGTGGAGATCCATGTAGCACACATACAGAGCGGTTTGAGCCAGCTGGGTAACCTCCATGCTTTCTCTGCCAACAACACCAACAGAACGTGACTGAAATAAACTTGCACTCCTCCCGGGAATCCAATCTCAAATACGGACAGAAACTCACCTCTTCAGTTCACCACTTAGTTCTGTGTTCATTCTGTTTGAAAGGTCAGAATGTCCGTTCAGTAACCGTACCTGCACAAGTAGTGCTAAAAATTCCCTGGCCGAAGACACCAACGTTGTCTGAAGATGTTCAACTAGCTTGCAAAAAAAGTACGAGTGTGAAGTTGTTTTGTAGATGTAACTGTTACGTTATTTCAGATGTTGCTCACACTCAATTTGATATTTAAGTTTCCCCTTATTTTTATTATTGGTGGTTTCCAACTCTCAAATGGTGCAGTTTGTTTGACTGAAACTGTTTGGTATAATTTTATTTCCTCTCTCTTTCTTAAAGTGCATAACTTTGAGTTTCCTGAGAGATGAGGTACTGTTCTGTCTGTTTTAAACTGTCCTGTATGTTTTAAATATGTACATTGTAGATAACTGTACAGTTCACTCAAAATATATCAATAAATCGATCATATATAGGGTAATGTGGACATTTTTTGACTTGTCAGATTTAGGTATTTTTGCAAAGCAAACAATCTGTTTATACAACTCCTATAATAGACAGCCGTGTGGAATGAAACCGAAGAAATAATCACCCAAATGCCCCACTGTTGTAAGTTTTAAAAGCGTTAGTTTTCTGTGGGGTTCTTTTTTAACCTGTAAGTGTATGCATGACACACGTTTGTAAATAAATTGATTTCTATTATCTTCATAAAAGGCTCAGAGTCTGTATTTTGATGTTTTATAAAAAAAAATTATTAGGACTGTAGAATGTGTTGCTTTACACCCATATTTTGTGATGATCACACAACATAATATACAATAAATACCTGCTTTTCAATCCTAAAATGTTCTTTAAGGCTTCAGATAAAGTCTGTTCAAATTGAAAAAGCTAAATCAACCCATTAAAACCAGACATGGCTTCTCTTTCCCAATCCGAGTCGGAATCTGAGAACTCAACAGCTTCGCTTGCTCTAACGGGCGAGAACATTCCAAAACTTCCCGGCTGGACATTTACTGGCATGTTTTGGACAGAACCGGCAACGTGTTTGGGGGATGATGAAGACATGAATTTATTCTGTGATGGGAGAGGTGGAATAACAACCTTCATCTCTGGCCCAATGGTCTTGTTTGGAGGGAAGTCATCATATTCCACCAAAAACTGCTTCATTGTAGATTCAGCATGGCTTGTGTTCATAACCTGCCCGTGTCCCTTCGGATACTGCTGTGTGTAATTGCATGGCACTACGACACTCAGGTGATCTGTTTTGATCTGGTTCTCCTCGGTTCTGCTGAACATGCACGGAATCATGGTTGGGTTGTACATGTCACCTTTCATGGTGCAGATCTCATCTGAAGAGTTGATCAGCTGTTGACTGAAGTTGTCCCTTGTGGCAACCGTTGGTAGTCTGTGTGTCTCCAGGCCAGTGTGATTCTGATCTGTGGTAAACTGGTTCATAAGGAGGCTGTTGGGGGTCAGGACATTTCCACTGGTCTTATTTGGAACAGGAATCCCCACCTGGCGCCGTGACTTGGCTCGTCGGTTCTGGAACCACACCTGAATAGAAAATGAGCACTGGTTTAGACACCTGATGCCATTATCTACTACATATTCAGTGTTATGGCAAACAAGTAAACAATAAAACCACACTGGTAAGTTGTTATATAGTATAATTTCATACAAAATATTTTATTTTTCATGTTTACACGCTCCTACAGTTCACACTTACGACAGGCTTCAGAAGGCTAATCGTAAATACATCAAAATGTTACAGAAGATGGTTTTTCGCACCTACTTTAGATAGTATTTCATATTTCAAAACGTATTTTTCTCAAAATATATATTAAAAAAAAAAAAGCCCCTCAGTCAAAATAAAACGATTTCCTGGCCAATCCCCCGATTTTTAATTGATTTTGTTTTGTCTATAAATATAGTATGTCTATACAGAAATAAACTTGCTCTGGGAAATATTTACTTAAGGGGGAAAAAACGTGACGACTAGCCCTAGTATTTCATATTTTAAAAACTTATTTTTTCAAAAAAAATTTTTAAAAAAAAAAAAGCCCCTCAGTCAAAATAAAACGATTTCCTGGTCAATACCCCGATTTTTAATTGATTTTGTTTTGTCTATAAATATAGTATGTCTATACAGAAATAAACTTGCTCTGGGAAATATTTACTTAAGGGGGAAAAAACGTGACGACTAGCCCTGGAGACATCTTGAACTTTAAGCAGGTCTTTTTCTGAGGAACATTACAGACAGGGTTGCCAGGTTTTCGCTACAAAACCCGCCCAATTACTACTCAAACCTATCCAGAAAATAGCCCAATTGTTTTCGAGGGGGTCCCCCAGTAAAACTCGCGTTCGGGGGGTAAAATACACTTTTTTTTTTGGCGGGGTTCTCCTGGTACAATTCACATTCCAGGGCCTAAATATCACGTTATTGGGGTCGCTTCAACCTGCTGACATAAAACACGACCGGCGGCAATCGCGGATTTGGCAACACTGACAGAAATCTCACCTGAATTCTCGACTCTGGCAAGCCGGTCAGTGCCTCAAGTTTCTCTCTTAAATAAATATCAGGGTATTTGGTGTCCAAGTAGACTTTCTCCAGGACGTCAATCTGCTGCTGCGTGAAGTTGGTGCGTTTTCTGCGGTGCGTAAACAAGCTCGCGCTGTCCGCTCTGGAGGCGCCGTCGAGGAACCTCGTCCTGTCTTGAGCTGCGTAACCGGAGGAGAAATGAGTAAAAACTATTTCAGTTAGACGCATTGATTACCTAGTTACTCTCAAGTATGAGTACTTTCAAGAGACATTCATGCGTAAACACTCACCTGTTGTGTGCATGTTAGTCCTCCTTTCCAAATCTGCAGCTGGAAATGGCTGGAACTGTCCATTCCCAAGGTCGCCATGCACGACTGCCATTGGTGTTCAGCATGGAATGATCGGACTTCTCTTGGAATGGCATTAAATACCCAGCCAGCCAGCCAGCCAGCCTTCCGTCAGAGCAGAGGTGATCAAAGCGAGCCGAGTGGCGGCAGGACGCAGGTGTGAATGTTTGACATTCGTGGCCTATTTGCATCTGTAAAAGGTTCGTGTGCGAGTTTAATGGGATCTCCACCCGAATACACATGACTTGAAAAACCATGTACGTGTATTGTTAGGTTGAGATGTTTTCCTGATCAGCTCCTCAGATCAGTGTGCAGCCTCACCGGAGCACAAGATTTATACAAGATCTCGGGAATGCATTTCTCTCAATATATTTTTGAAGTATATGAAACATCATGAATGTCATTAGTGTAAAAAGTCATACAATAATAAAAATGGGTATTTTCACAAATTAAATTAATAATTTTTTTTAATGCAGAAAATTCTGATAATTGAATTAATATTTTATATACATATTAAATTAGCATTTCCAACCAAACATGCCACTGTATTACGTAATTTGTGTAAAAAAAAAAAAATTACAAAAATCAGTATCTTCAGAAAATATATATATATTTTTTAATGCTTTGCGTTTTTATATTAGCAGATATTTTACAAATGTAGTAAAAAAAAAAGGTTTTAATTGCATTCATATTTTATATACATACGCAAAAAAAATATCATGAGCATTTCCAACAAAATATGGTTGTGATGGAAAATATGCCACTGATGTCATTTCTGTAAAAAAAAAAATAAATCTGTTTTTTTTTCACAAAATAAAAAATACATTTTTAATTTAACATTTATATTTAAATTCATATTTTAAGATGAAGAGTAAAACAATTTATAAATAAGACATTTGGAAAGAAAAATAAATGTCAAAAGGTATGGTATTAAAAAAAGAAAAGAAATTTAAATATATTAAAGTTTTAAAGTGACTGTCATATGATATAAAAGTGTGCATAATCAAAGTTTGTGGTATTTTAAAATGATTTATTCTAGAAGCAATTTATAATGTTTCTTTTTAGCATTGATTGATCTATAACATGAGCTTGTTCTATTCTATTCCAAACAATCAATTTGGCCCAGTGGCCTGCTGACTGACTTTGAACCCTTAAGAGAAAAACCTGTAAGGTTCATGTAAAGACTTCACGTACAATGATTCAGAGAGGTTTTCTTCACACAGACAGTACATTCAGAATCCAGTCTGTCTGTGTTCTTTGTGCCATCTGCAATTTGCACTTTTACTCCACTGAACATTTCTGTGTGGCTGAAATAACTAAACTGAAGAAAACACATTTTGGAGTTCCCTTGCAATAATACTAATGCATGCACTCCTTTAATAAATGCCTCCACTAGATGAACATTTTTAACTTTGATCAGATCCAAGACCACGATGATTAACTCGCCTGTTCACAAATATCACCATCTGGAAACATCAAACGTAAGGCCGTGTCCTTTGACGGAGCTAACTGTAGCAGCTAATGATCAGCCGTTAACACACCAGCTGCCATCTTTGATAGACAAAGCTCTCTCACCTCCAAAATACCACCATAGACCGAGGGATTAGCGAGGGACATTTTGCTCCTCATGTCAAAAAGTTGTTGACATCATTTGTCTAGAGTTTTTCCTTCTCTTACTTTTTTTTGAAAAT